TATTATTATTATTATTATTATTATTATTATTATTATATTATAGCCTCTTCCAAATTCCGTTGGAATGATCTATACAAGCACACAATTTATTGGATTTTCCTCGGGGATTTTCCCATTTTGACACGCATTTTCTCAAGGTCTTTGCCGTAGGCTTGGCCTACTACGCAACTGATATCTCAAAAGATCGTAACTTAGCGCGAAGAATCACCTCTACTGAAATTTTATTAAAGGCTTATCTATTCATCCATATTACGTAACGTGGGAGGTTGTGTTTCTCCATACATTTTTTTAACGTCTGTAGACAGAGACTAGGCTTGCACTCCGTTAGACTTTGACCCCCTTTTTGAGGGTATTCCCGATCTGGAAATTACGGAGATGTATGTATGGCAATGTAAGCTGACTTAATTTGTAGTTTTAATAACTGTTGTTCCTAATGCTTTTTTTTGATATATTAAATAACTAGTACCCGTGAATGGTAATGTATTTTTAGTAGACTAACTTAGGCCTCGGCCAAGAAGTTCCGGCATAGGCTAGGCCTAGCCTAGGCTAGCTCCCTTCCTTACCTAGCTTACTTAGGCCTAGTAGGCTAGCTAGGGCCAGGCTGCCCTACCATCAAGTTAGTCTTCTCTTGCCTAGGCCTTATGATGTATATTATGCCATGTGTTCAGTGTAGGTGTGGTGCGCTAGCCGGTGCTACACGGTTTTACATAAAGCCAAGCACTCAAACGACGGTCGTTGGCTGATGTGCTTCCATCATAGAGAACGCAATCGTTTTTTTAAGATGATACGTTCAGACTGCTATCTAGCCCTTTCTAGCGTTCGCAAGCAGTAGAGTGGGATGAATTTGTTGTACAACGCAGTGAGACTGAGTGCCCGGCTTTATGTTCTTTGATGATTTGGCTTTCATATAATCCACTTATTATCCAATAATTATGGTTTCTAATTAAGTTAATAGGCCTTTTTCACGAATCAGTAGACATATTGAAGTGATGACAAACATTGCGAATCAGCGGTGCGTAACCAACAGAAATAAGATAAGCTTTTGTGCTGATTTTCTGACATCATGTTATATAAAAAATCATAACTCCATAACGGGGCGTCGTATCCAAAATATTTTTCCAGCAAAATGTTCTTAAAAGTCTAGTCTATACCATTATATCATTGAAAAAAAATTGAAAAACGTTTTTGACCTCAGAAATCACGATGGAAAAAGAAAAGCCTATCTTACCGCTGATTCGCAATGTTTGTCATCACTTCATGATTTAATTAAAACAAACGAAAGTACCATTTCACTCACAAATACAAGAATAGGGCGACGATAAATTCACCCTTGTTATAATTCACACTAAATGCATCTGCTCGAACTGGCATCCGCTCAAAATTGGCATTCGCTAGAATTGACTGGCATTTAAAGTAGATAGGTCTAGGATGCATGCAAGTTTACTGTTGCCAATTAAAGTGAAAGACATATACTGTAATGTGTGTTTTGGAGCCAGACTTTATAGTAAGGCCTGCGCTGGGAATATATCCTCCATTCAAAAATTTAGTCTACAAATCCAAATCTGTCTGTGCATTTCAGAAAATAATAAAGGCTGATTTCCGTGCAGATTTTTGTGCCACAAATTAGGCTTTGACCTAAATATATAAACAGTGTATTATGCAGTAATTGCTATTCTGCGCACCTATTTTCCTAGCGATTTTCCATGCAAATTTGAGCTGGTTTCTGAGGTATCATCCATGCAATTAAAAAACTTTACAGTATGGTTTCGTAGAATGTTTTAAGGAAACTTATTGGTCTAAACTGCGACGAGTTTGAAACACTTATTAACCTTGATTGACCAGTGTGAGGAAGGTATGATGTTGCAGATTAAAGCCTTTCTACACAAATGTGGCCTTACCTCTGTCTAAATAATATAGTCTAGGCCTAGGGGCCTACTGCATGTATTAGTATAAAATAGGTTCACAGGTTCCACCGTAACTACCTCCCTACTGCTACTGCGTATAGGCCTACATTTGTTATTATTATAATGAAAGGTATGCCCAAGGCCTAATTTTCTGCAAAAATTTGCTAATTCAATTTAACAAAACATTTATTTTCTTCCAGTAGTAAAACAAGAATGCAAAGTTGGAAATACAAAGTAACACAAAAATCCGAAAGAACGCCAGGTCCTGAGAAGAAGTTTGCTAAACATCTTGTGATAAAGAAGCCTAAAAAAAAATAAATAAATATTTTAGAAATTCTAAACTGATTTCTAGACCTAAATTTTTGTGCAGGGGATTATTATCTGTCCAGGCCCTATTTTACACTCTGGTATAGGCATTTTTATAAAGTTAAAATATCTGTATCTTATTAATGAAAATTAATAAGATTAAAAAGATTATTTTTAAAATTTTATATATCTAATGTCTTTCTACTTTTTACAGGGATGAAGTATATTGTTTGTCCAGTTATCAATGGATGATGATGAAGAGTAGTAGACCTAGTGTTAAAGAACAACTAATGGCTTACCTTGATATGCTATGATAAAGAACTCATGCCCAAGATAACACATAAATATAGCAGTTCTACTTAGGAGACTGAAAGTACTTATATTTTTTACTCTGCAAGATGGAACCAGAATGTAAGTCCTCCATAGGCGGAGGTGGTGATCCCTCAAATGAAAATGGTTGGGACATTGGTATTGATCAATGTTCATATTTTAGAGCAGCCAGAACTGAGTTCAACCAATCAAATGCAGCGTATGAAGGCAAGAAATTGTACTCAGAAAATTTAAGGAAATATAAAGATGTGGTTGGGTCTGGTGACAATTTCAAGCCAACAAATGATAAATTTGATGATATCACATTTAGGACTAGTAACTCTTGTGAACGTTGCACAACAGATAATGCATCTTCAAGCGCCACTTTCAGGCTGCCCTCTAGCGATGGTCACTGTGCTGCTAATAACAACCTTTCAGGCTCCACCTCTGATAAACAGGATTCTCAGCAACAAGAATGGAAACAAACTTCTTGTAAATCGGAAACAACGTCAACCAAGAATAAATCAACACTATTTTTTGATCCAAAACGAATATTTGCCGACAATAATAAAGCCAAACATGAAACAGAAATATCAGATGTGCATTCACAATCATCCGATACACAATCAGATGGCGAGTTGCTAGATCTACGTGAACAGACCTTACGATTTGACGCAAAAATAAAGAAGAAACTGGAAGCTTCTGTAACCACCGACTCGACTCGTTTGAATTCCGTAAGAAAAATGAAAAATAAAAGTTCACCAAAATCAGAAGATGATAAATCTACTAATGGACAAAAAACTAATACTATTAAAGAGAATAGTTCGCCATACAAAGGAAAAGAGAAGTGTTCGTGTAAGGCCAATCTTTCTGAGAATATAACTAACGATGTTAAGTTTACATTTTCTGGGGATCAAGAAAAGCCGAACTGGAAAGGGTCAAAAGTTACTTTTGGTTGTGAGGAGACAAGCCATGGTCGCGATGGCTTCGATCAAGATCCAAAACCTCAATCCAGCAATCCTAGCGATAAAATAAATTTAGACTCAGGCAATAGGAAAAAGAATATGAAAACAGAGAGTGAAAGCTACTCAAGAAGAAAGAAGAAAGTAAAGTCCAAGTCTCAGGACCAGCAGCAAAAAGTGCCGGAAAACAATGGCAAATCTAACAGAGGGGGTAGATCGAAGAGTAAAAGGGAGTGGGATCAGGAAGCGGAATGGCCAGGACAGACGAGAGTAGATGATGAGCGTGGGAACGCAGGACAGATGGGAGCAGATAATGAGCGTAGAAACGTCAACGTGGAGGGGGAAGTAAGAGAAGAGGCAGCTGATGGTTCTGGTAGGATACTCATTTCATTCTACAATGTTAATGTTATTTTACTAGTATTGATTGCAATTGCATAATAGTCTCCCTTAGGTGGTCTTTAATTGGAGGGGTGTTTAATTACTGTAGATGGAGACCTGTATCCATTTAAAAACACATCACAGGCAATCCCAACCACATGTCTTTTTGTCTGTAAGTGTCAGTTTGTTTGGTCAAACAATATCTGATAATGTATGTCTGGTCAAACAAATTGTATGCATGTCTCCCTCTAATTAAGGACATTTCCAATTAAAGTCCCAAATCAACAACTATCACAACAACTATAATGAGAGACCAAACCTGCTAAACACCATGGAAACCTGGGTCCCAAAAGTGGTCTTTAATTGGAGAGAGACCTATACATCCCCCGATACATCCCTATAAGTCAGAAAATGTTTTCTTCAGCAGTTGTTGGTTTAACTTTTTTAATAGAGCCCCTAAAATATGTTTTCCTTAATTGTCAAATAGATATATTTTAAATTTGTGTAATTAGGTCTATTTTTTTGCAGAGAATGCAGTATGGAAGACTCCTGCTTCTTGCTTCCATGGTTACCAAAATCAATAAAGAATCAAATATGAATTTTGAAATAGTGTATGAGAATTGCTTCTTCAGACCAGCTTCGCTAATTAATTGATATAAAAAATATATAAATTCATATTTATGTGTTTTATTTTTTGGTTTGCAGGTGACGCATTGCAACAGCTTTTCTTTGGAATTCTCAAGACGCTGGTCTGGTTCCTTAGCTTTTTATTTTTCCTTTTTCTGGTGCTGCTTTCTTTTACTATAAATATGTAAGTAATGGGTTTTCATAGTTGAGCGAGGGCTATATGAGTTTGCTTTGAAAATGATTACATAATAATTTTTAACTTTTGTTGTTTTAAAGTGCCAAGAGGTGGATTGTGTACACAATAGTATTTCTGAAGATGATGGTGGGGTGGATAAGGCGGAAGGACACATCACACAATGGCGGACAAAATGGAGGCTCGCTATCCTTTGAAGATATTCAAGGGATGCTAAACCTCGGTCCATCGGAGAATATAGAACTACCCACGGAAGGTATAAGAAACTGTCTGAATAATTAAAAGAAGTTGTGGTGGTTAGCAACCAGCCTTTTAGTCATAAGATACTGGGTTCAAATCCTAAGACTTATAAACTCAAATTGCTAAGCCTTATAATGAGACTTAGGTTAGGTTGACACTAGAGCCCTAGTATCTGCATCGGGAGCTAGCCGTTAGCATCCGTGTGAGATTGCCTGAATGGTTAGCGCTAACTGTTACCAGGATCTGAATACGCAAACGGTTAGCGAGTGCTATCGGTCTATCATTAACCAATCACACGTACGCATTTCTTTTTGGCCAGTGATCCCACTGATACCTGGGTCATTAGCTGGTGTGTGTGAAATTATCCTGAGATTAAAGAGTATCGCAAGCTGTGACTGGCGAGTCAGTAGCCAATGTGATTTCATTACGCCGTGATGTGATGATGCGTTGCACGACAGACCGTTTTCAATAACGATCTGCTCAGACTGTCAGCAATGTAGCATTCCGTCCGAGCAGGCACTCTCAAAAAGCAAAGATGAAATCCTTAATCGACCAGCCAAGTGTACCCTAAGTAGAAGTAGCAAACAATGCAAATAAATAAATGGCTAAAAATGGTCGGCTCTAGATACCCTCTTTTTTTCATAGGTAAACAGGCAGTTCAAAGGTTACTGAAGTGCAATGCTGCGGACCCGTATGCAGTACTTGGCGTAACTTCTGACGCTACAGATGACACCATCAAGAGGTACTACCGAAAGCAATGCATGATGGTTCATCCCGACAAGGTAGTTTCTCAAATTTGTTGTATGCCCATATTTAGTCATGATGTGCCTATGTATGGTCATGATAATGTGATGTCATTAGCCATATTTAGGCATGTCAAAAATAAAATTTGATAACCTGGACAAGTCTTAATGCGCTGTGTATTGAAGAAAAAACAATTAGAAGAATGTTGATTTTTTTTTTTCAAATAAAAAATTAAAATGAAATTTGTGTATATTATATTATTTATAAATTTTATGTTTGAAAGGTCTTCAGAGGGTTCAAGAAATTGTTACTTAACAAAAAAATTGTTGGTGAGAAGAATATTACAGATAAAAAAAAATACTTTGGCTCTATATGTTTATCTTTTTGCCATTGTTTTTGTAGAATACGATGACTGGTGCTGAGGAGGCCTTCAAAATTTTGGGAAGTGCATTTGAAATTATCGGTGAACCAGTACGATAGTATTTTCTATAATTTACATCTTGCAGCATAGATATTGAACAAATTTTATATTCATTTATTATTTAATGTATCCTATCTGTTATTACCTTCATTTTAAAACTTGGTTCTCTCATCAGCGGAAGCGATGTTGAGGTGCGGGTGGAGGGGAGGATAAATATTGAAACTGGGGTCTCTGGATGTTATGACAATGTTGTCTGACTAAACATAAGTCACTAATAATGCCTACCTGCTAGGATCAGTGGTGGATTCAAGGGGTGGGGGCCCTTAAGTATAATAGAGAAAGATTAAAATTATATTCAAATCTTAGTCTGAGAGTGCCATATCTGGCCATCCAGAGGTGCCATTATCATAGATTTACATGCATCAGCCCCATCCATGGTGGGGCTGAGGTGGTCTGGGCCCTCCATATGTGTGAGTCCCTTCCTGGGCCCTCTCTATTTCAAATTCCTGGATCAGAGGATTGACAGATAGTGTGCAGAAAATAGCTTGCAAGAGCAACAATTACTAACTAGTAAAATCCTTGATGGGGGTGGGGCTGAAATTACTTGACGAATTTAACTCCTGAATTACCAGATTCATATTTTTATTTGTTCTGATTTATTCTCTTCCACTAGACGAAGCGTGCTGAATTTCATCGAGCCATTACAGAGAGCGCTCAGAAGGAAATGTTCCATGTGAGTATAAGTATTATCATTTCATAAATCATTTACCCCTTGTATATATTGAAATTGCACATATCTTCCCTAAATGTGTTAGGGGTTTCCTCATCAACATTAATCCATTTATGGATCATTTAAAATTTTAGATCATGTTTGAGCTGAACATAAACTCAAACCACAGATTCTGTCTGATCACTTCTACTAAGATATGAGGCTAATTTCAGCCAAGGAAGTTAGCCTAGTTTTTTTGGGTCCGCCTAACTATTACTATCTGTTATCAATATTCATATTTCTTTGGTCAACAGAAAGAGTTTGCTGAGCAGTTGAGGAAAATGCAAGAGGTCTTTGAGGTATTTTAATTCTTATAGCATCACTATATAATAACAAAACCCTAAAATATAATATGAGAAAAGCGGTAAATGTTTCAGTAAGCAGAGAAAAATTAAAGATCCTTTTGTTGACTGTATTGTAGCACTAACTTGCAAGTGGTACGTATATAGCGTTTATTACAAATTCTTGTAGTACACCCCCCCCCCCTCACTGGAAAAGTTTAAAGCAAAGAAGTAGAAAGTACTTAAAAATCACTTCATGTCACCTTATTTTGCGAGGTAGCTCCCCCACACTGAATCATCCAGCCCCCACCCATCATCATCTTCCCCATTTCAAGACTATAATATATATATATCACTGCTAAAATGGTGCCATGTACTTTACCTGATTTGTTGCAGCACATTGACATTTAACCTGTCTTATTTCAGGAAAGGGCAAATACAATACGTTGTTTAGTGTGTGGAGGCAAGCATTTAAGATATTTGACAGACCGTTCCCCTTATTCTGCAAGATACTGTGCAAAGCATGATACTAGGCACCACGCAACAGATGTAAGTAGACCCAGCATAATACTCCCCTCCCCCCTCTAGTGGCCAGAGTGACACACACCTGTATATCTGTTATTTCATTTTGTCATTTCACGAGTGCCAAAGATATGCCAATCAGCGAACTTAATCATTAATGCGAACTTAATGAACCAGTACACCAGGGTAACCCCCAACTCTTCTCAAAGCATGTACTGGTTTCTTTAAAGTGCACATGGGACAAATGCATACACTGGGCCCACAGTTTAAAGTCCTTATCCGAGAAGACTTGTTCCACCACTGGAACCATTGGGGAGTGAGCCATTGGCCATTTTTATACACAGTAATATTTTTGTTAATGGATTTTATATCTGAAATAAATTAATGAAAAAAATTGATGAATGAACAAATGGACAAAGAAATGATACAATGAACAAATTGTTATATATATGGATAAGCAAATTAATAAACATATTACTCATTATTGTCTCAAAACTCAAAATGCATTAAATATATTTAAAACATAATTATGTGCAACCCTGGATGTTATTTACCATAATCTTGAGTTCAAGTTTTATAACACCATGGTGGAGCTGAGGTTACAAAATCTTGTCTGCGGCATGTCTAGATGTTCAGAAATGGCACAACCTTACCACTTTGCCGTAAATGATTGCATTATGGAACGCAAAAATTTAGTACAAACAAAATGCATTTGAGTAAAAACTTTTCCCTCACACACACTTTGGTCAATTAATGAATTAATAACTGGTTAACTTTTATTGTTGTTTGCAGGGTGATATCTGGGCCGAGTCCTCACACCTTGGATTCCGTTGGCATTACTTTACATGTACAGGACACCAGATATATGATGTCACAGAGTGGGCAAAGTGCCAGGTTAGTAGATGTATCACAGCATCAGAAAGATAATTTACATAATTCATGCAAATTTATGCAGACTTGTCAAGTCATGGCATCAAAGCATTCCCACTAGGTGGTCCATCATTCCCTGACAGATATGCCATACTACCTCAACTCCACTATTAATTTGGTGGTGGGGGAAATCAGGTTGGGTTTTTTTTTTTTTATCATCATTGCTGCTAATAGGAATTTATTGAACACCTTTACCTGGGAATACAAAGAGCTAAAGGATAGCAAATTTAGAAAGTATGATGTGTGATTTGTCGGAGGGAAATTATGAATTTAATCATCATTGGTTTTCTATTCTTTAGGATATGAGACTGATGCAGAGTAACGCCCACGAAGTGCGATACCGATTTGACACCAGGCGACAACATCGTCAACGTACTGCACCACCACCGCCAAATTTTGAGTGAGTATCATTTACCGTTTGTGGGAAGCTACTAGTGGAGATCACAGACAACAATACAATACGTACATCCTGCTAGGTATCTATTGTAGACTTCTGTTTGAAGAGCCAAACACATATAAAGTGCTCTGCTTATAGACAAAAACTAGTGGGATTAATCTATCGTTGGACCAAGCCAATCACCCGTCTGCCACGACTCCTCAGACCAAAAGAAGAAAAGTAATCTTTTTTTGCAGAGCAGCTAAATATTTCCTAGTTATTCTAAGCACCAGGGACTTTTTGACAATTCCCCTACAGTAAATTTTGCCGGAAATTGTCTGCCAACTTTTGCCTCTCTGATCGCATGCATCTCAACCTCTGAATTCAACTTTTAAACTTCTATCTATGATTTTGTTCCAGGGATGCGTTTTGGGACGAGTTTTTACGTCAGACGTGCAACATGGACCAACCTACAAGAAACCAAAGTGCAAACCCTAACAACCAACAACGCAAACAACATAAGAAGAAACACAGGAAGAAAAAAGGTTTTTAAATGAATAATTAGCATCAAAGATGTAATTGTTAATTTTACTTTGCTTCCATGTTAACAATTTGTAAAGTTGCCTTTTACTGTTATTGGTTGCTAGGGCAAGCCAGGGTGATTAAATAGGGGCAGGGTGGAGGGGGGCCCTGGGTGCAGGAATTAAAGATATACCTAGATGAAACCAATATGGGCCTAGGTGAAACAGGTATGGGCCTAGGTGAAACCAGTATGAGCCGTAGTAAGCTACAACTTGTAATCTTTTTAGTAATAATATCTTCCATAATGGGTGGTGCTGAAATTAAAATCTTGTAATTTTGACCTACAGAATACTGAAGCTGTTAATATATTTAAGTATACAACTATTATTTGAAATAAATTACTGGACTACAACATGCATGGAGAATATATACAGAATGTGGACTGGAAGTTTAATAAATATTATAAAGCTAAGGAGTCTTTAAAAGTAAATATTTAAGAATAATTTAGTTGATATTAATTGAAAGCTAGGGGGTCTGATATCATGAAAGCTATTTATCAAATTATAAGGTATACTCTATAAATTTCCAGATTACTGTTTTTTTTGTGCAAAATTCATCAGTTAATTAAATGTAAGTACATAAGACAACATTGCAGAAACATTTAAAATGTACTGTACAGACATTTACTGTAAAACTTCCAATAATAACCCTGGGTTACTATTAATAAAATTAATGTTGGCACTTGAAAATTATAAACCCCAGCTTTTCACATCAGGAAATAATACAAATATATAACTACAGTAACATGTGTAACATTTTATTAAAAAATAGGTTTGCTTCTCATCTTTTGATTTGAATATACAGTATATATATGTTTTTGTCTATAGTTTTGGTACTCTAATTGTAACACCATGGATTATTATTAAAGTAGTGTGTTGTTATTATAGATTTACTATTGGAGGGGGTTACTAATAGAGAAATGGGTTATTATTTGAAGTTTTACGGTAGTACTAAATACATAAAACTACAAATTCATAACTGCATAGTTTAAAAAAATGTTTGCTAAAATGATAAAAATATGTTTATAATAGGTCTATTTGGTTTTAAGTTTAAACTTTGGAGTATGGCATTATTATTTATTGTTTTACTGTTAAAATATATCATACAAACATCTGTGTATTATATTAATATACAGCATGTCATGAGTATTAAATTCTCTATGAATTGCCTCTGTAAGTTGTCATAAACAGCTATTATTTCATCTGTTTACAACTTACATAATTGCTACATGATGCATTGTTTAGATAAGATTTTTTTGATGGACAAGTAATTGTTGAATTAAATTTTGTTTGAATGTAGGTTAATACTACTATGTTCCTTGCACCAACACATCATGTGGCAAATACAAGCCAAAACCATTCACTCGTTGCCAATCATGCCAAAACATACTGGCATGTCAATTTTTTTTTAATGTTTGATGGAACTAAACTAATGTTTATATATCTATACATCATGCAGTGTTGTTATTTTCTCCATTCTTGATGTTAAAACAACAATTTGGTGATGGTTTCTGCCCAAAATTGTAAACTTCGGATGCTGGTTTCTCTATACAGTACTGTACTGTTCTTTAAACAGCTGCATGCATAAAAAATATAAGTGAAAAATTATGTTTTCCAAAATAGTTGTTCAAAGTATATAATTAATATTGAGTTATAAACAAATTTCCATTTAAGTGCATGTTGAACTTTGAAGCCACTGAGGGCAGCAAATACAAATACAAATGTTATGGTGCAATAGAGAGCAGCATATCAAGGAATGGGGTGACGGGGAGCTAGCTTGCAAAATAAGGTGATCTTTATCTACTTGAGCATGATTTTTGCCTCATAAATTTTCAAGTGGGGTTAGGCACCTGGGGAGCATGCTTTTTTAGAGGAGTGTCCCCCATGCCCTCCCCTAGATACACCACTGCTGCAGTGGTGGTTCTCCGTATCTTCTAATCACTCTAGAATTTTTATAATTGCATTTTATGTTCTAAAGGAAGGAAAATGTATTTTAGGTATGCCTATAAAGTAATAATCAGTACTCCATGCTGATTGGCTGACAGATCAGCTAACACTTTGTGTCCACCAATCCTGAATATTGTTATATTGCCAATATGTCTTCTCAAAACTTTCTTTTAATTATGCTTTATATGGATCACTTTTGGTTAAAATACAAAAATAATATATGTCTTCTTTTGTTTTTGGTAATATGTTGAATTATAAAGTTGGATGTGAATATATTTTGTTGATATCACTTGATAAGAAATGGAATGACAACAATCATGAAAATTATAAATAAAACTTGGCAAAACGTTGAAATTAATGTAACTTGCCTCTCCTCTTTCTTATAACAATTTACTATTATCATCATCATCATCATCACTATTATGTGTATTGTAATTAAGTTAGTTACTGGATAATAACATTATTATTAATATTATCACCATCATTAAATTTGTATAAATTACATTATTATTATTATTGTAATTTAGTTACCAAAATCTGTTTTCAGGCCTGCCTCCTTGGTTTCAGCATTTGTTTATATGGAAATAAATTTGAATCATTTGAAAATTAGCTCTATACTACACTACAAAGAAAAAACAGAAAGAGTCAACAGAATTACATATTTTTTTTTGTTTTAATTGAAAACAAAAATCATCTAAAAACTATAATTTCTTAGAGAATATCAATCAGTGGAATAAAAGTTGCAATCAGTTGCAGTGCCAGATATTTTTCCGACAAGGGGTCGAAGGTCCCTGGCAAGCAGGTTTTAAGAATATGCCTAGGAATGCCCGGAAATGGCACTCTCAGACTGCAAATATGCTTTACAAACAGCGTTTTCCAGATGTAATGATTGGCTCCTTCCTTGACAGCGCTAGGGTTTCTTTAAGGGGGTCTGGTAGCCACCTGAACCCCACTGGCACTGCCACTGTTGGTTATATTGTATCATAGTAAAACAAGGTACTGTATTTTAATTGGTAATATATATAGATATTTAAAATCCACTGTACCATGTGGAAGGCTCTGTCCACACTCACACCATATATGGTCATGATGTGCCTATATATGGTCATGATGAGATGTCATTCAGGCATGTCACATGTTTTTGTCAAATAGAATTTGAGTCTGGACAGGCCTTACGTCCACACTATCAAATTTTCTTTGACAACGTAACTGTTGTATGCCCATATATAGTCATGATATGCCTATATATGGTCATGATGTGATGTCATTGACCATATTTAGGCATGTCACATAGAAAAGAATTTGATAGTCTGGAGTGAGAGTGTCAACTTTGAACATCCCTTGACTAAACTGCCTGTTATATCTTGGCTACAAGCCCTGTATAATGTATCTGCTATTCAATATCGATATACTGCTTTATTACTATACCTCATTAATGTTAATTAGGTAATAACATTTCATTGGTCAATTCCACCCAAAAATGATACCCAAAATCGACTGCCACACCCCTGCCAGTGTGAACCGTTAAACTGCGTACTTCGGATGATTGGGCCTACCTCACTGAGCTTGGCCTCGGTAAGTAGTCTCAATCATCCAGCACTTCAGGAAGTAGAATTTACTACTTGGTCAAACCATGTTGTATTATACAACTGTACCTGTTACATGATTTTACAGGATTATCTATATTCATAATCATATACATTCATAATCATATCTATATTTCATGTGATCACAGTATGACGAAAATATGTTAGGTACTTTTTCCATGCAGCAACATCTTGTGGGTACAAATTGCATTTAATATAGTACATTTTTAAGTGCATTTATTATAAAACGTTAAAATACATAACAGTGAATACATTTTATACCGAGTTCTTTCATGTTATTGTCAACATTTGACAATAATACTTTTAATACCAAATAAAATAAATTCATTTGTTTTTCATATATATTTCAAGACCAATATATTTTAAACTGGCACTTAACATGATTATATATATTTGTCAATTGGTGCTTTTCATATTTTTAGTGAACCCTCACACCACCATAAAATGAGTTTTGTTCCACGCAAGACCAAAAAGATAATATTGCCATCAGCTCAACATTATATTTTGATTCATATACAGTGGCGGATTCAAGGAGAGGGGAAAGCCAGACCAGTACCGCTTAAAAACCATTTTTTTTTAAATAGATAAAAAAAAAAAAAATTAAATTCAAATTTAAGTCTGAGAGTAATAATAATACAATTTCTTACCCCAGCCCCAACGAAGGGCTTCCATCTGTGGAAGTCCCTCCCTCAAGGTTCCTCCCTGGGTCCCCTTTCTAGTTTGAATTCCTAGATCCGCCACTGATCTAACATTAATCATATATCTTAACATAAAAAGCAGCTTTAAAAATAGGCTGCACATTAAACATTACGAGTATAGTATTTAAGCTGCTTTAAGTTTCATTTTGAGTTGACGAAAAGAGTCAAATGCTTAATACCCAAACTCCTAAAAAAATATGAAATCCCATTTTCTCTAATATACCACTACCAGAGCAAGACTGATTTTGTCTTAGAGGGCCACAAAAGTTTTCTTCTATATATGGAAATCTTTAAATAATTTGTTATACAGCATGAATAACGGAATAACATATCAAGAGATATTACTTCCTTCCATCAGAAAAGTGTACACCTCATGTTTTAGAAAAAATTTATATGTATAATGTTTTTATGATCATGCAATTCATGTCTTCTAGTTAGAGTTATATATACTTATATATAAATTATATACTTTTGGAAATATAACTGTTATATATTTTCCTCAACTAAGAATTTTGATTCAAGATTCAAGATTTTATTTGCAATATGAGTCAAAACAAGTTATAAAATTCCAGTCAACCGAAAGCATCAACAACAAGATTTTGTTTATGCAAAAAAACAAGATAATGGTTTTGTGTATAGCAACTGTAAAGTTGTAGGAGAGTGGGGCGAGTAGAAAAAAATGCGCAATATTCTGCGTTTGAATGTGACGGCAAGGTTGGTGAATACAATTATCTTTTTTGGTTATTTCTTCATTACTGAAAATTCGACTTGATAATACTAAAATAATCAGAGGAAGATTATACTGTGTGGGGGAAGTGAAGGGGACATTATAGACCGCAGCAACATCCCCACCCTGTTTTTGAAACCCTGTACAATTAAAAAATAACAAAAAAAAGGCCTAACTTCTATTTTATTTAAAAAAAAAAACTTTGTTAAAATATTTAAAATGCAAGGATTTTGTTAATACAAGTTAAAAGTTAAAAATGCAAAAAATTATATTCTCTGATGCTATTATTTTATCATTTTAATTTTTTTCATGATTTACACTCTACTTAATTAAATTTTAATCACAATGATAAGTGACAACCTTCACCAATCATCAAACTTGTCTTTCTTAATTTAATACATTCTCTATTCTAGTAAAAACTGTTTAAAGTTAACAATAACAAAAACATATTAAAATATGTCACAATTATTTTACAGAACAATGCGTAAATAATATACAGTAATTATTTACATATATTATACAAAAGATATATTAGGGCAACAGAAATTTTCTATAAAACATTATTACGGGTGGGTAATTGCTCAAGTCCCATATTAATTACATGGTAATTGAATAATTACCATGTTAATTAAATGGTAGTCTTCCAATATACTATATCAAACACTATTGCACAACACAGCAAAAATTAACCACTAAATCAAATTAATGAACACTGAAAATAAGAGACATCAAAATTATTATTTTTTAAATATTTACATCTTTAAAAATCTTGTGAGATGGGTAGATTGAAAGAGAATTAAAAAATAAAATATCACTTCAAAGCATTGATGTGATTGGTATTTTTACAGAAAAATATGTATTACAATACAATTAATTTAGAGTCCAATCAAAAAGTGGGTACTGTAAAGAATTTCTATTGCTTCACTAGTGCGACACTGATTTTGTTGATAAATTTCCATTATTTTTTTGGTTCATTCTGGTTATTTTGAAGCGCTGCCCGTTGCCGTTCTTTGATGCCTCGGCGGTGTAATCTATTGAACCGCTACTGATGCTACGCTTATACTGAGGTCCCCGGCCTGGTGTCGCACCAACCGCTGATCTATTGTTGTAGCTTGTCCGAAGAGATAATCTGGAGCTGCCGTTGAATTTTGGCAAGGAGGACGGGGACACTGGACTACGCTGCGCAGATGTCGTCCTCTTTTTCAGCTGCTGTTTCTGCTGGCTGGGCCTCGGAATGAGAGGTTTGATGAGCGGTGCACGGCTGTTCGGACTCTGCGAGCGACTTCGGTAGCTAGTGGGAACAGGAAGTTTGGAGGGCGGTGTTACTTTGGTTGGAGATGAAAGCGAAGTGAGTTGATCGAGTGCTGATAAGCTAGCACTAGCTGTGACTGCCCTCTCGGGGCTAGAGGAAGCATGACGGTGATGATGAAATTGAGGACTACATAATGGAAAAAAGACACAAACAAACAATGTAGATGACATATACAAGAAGACAAATGCACTGACAAAACATAAACAAAATATGAAGCCGTTATTATAATTATTTATAATATAATAATAAACTAGTATTTTGTATTTGGCTTCAGGTTTTGTTCATATATGAAATGGAATACACAAAGTCAGCTCAAAACCTATTATATTCCCTTTAACCCACTCCACTCAATGTCTCCTTAAATTTGATTATTAGATATTAAAGGAAACATTTTTGAAATTAATTGAAATTACATTATTTAGAATATCATGCAATTTTTTGGCATAAATAAATGCAAATAATGAGAAATTAATTCAGTGCCAAAAGGAGATTATATTTAAAAAAAATATCATTGATAAATGGTGTACAAATCTTTATACAGTATTTAAAAAAATGTTCATTGATAAATGGTTTACAAATCTAATAAAAGAAGGTAGTGGAGAGGGGTAATGGGGAGGGGGGGTGGGGGGGGGGTAGTAATGAGCCAACAACATTGAGGTACATGCAACTCTACATGACAATCATGTATTTTTGTGACAAATTTGTGTGATATGCCATGTATGGACATGATAATGTCATATCCAAACATGGGCAAATCACAATTCATTGTCACAAAATGTAGACAGTGTGGAAAGAACCTAAGAAATGGGAATATCTCAATGACTGACAATTAAACAGTTTCATTCAAGTATACATGATATTACAAAAAGAGGTAGAATAAAACAAGGATAAAATCCGGAGAAGTGTTTTAAGCATTTGTCCTGAATAAGATGTACTTAATCAATTTATTTCACTATGGTAATACCCATCAGTCACATTAAAAATATTTAAATTTGTTTTACTATTTTAGCCACCAATGGAAGTTGTCTTTACTAAGTCATATATTATTAGTATCTTGTCATAATTCATTCTCAGTGACGGTGCCAGCGTCTGAAATCTGGGAAGGGGAGGGGGGGGCAAGGTAAAATTTTAGAGGACAATATGCTGGGGTGGTACAGGGAGCGAAGCACCCGAAAAAATGACAATTTAGAAGTTTCAGAGGCTTATATAATCAATTTATAAATACATAGTTTACTAATATGTACAGTAGAAAATACATATCATTTCTTTTTCTCCCCACGAATTGTGGTTTTTCTTCATTTTTTTTGGGGTGGGGGGAGAGAGAGAAACTGGAGGGGGAGGTAAGAAAGTTGCTTGGGTAAAATTCACCCCATGGCGCCACCACTGTTTATTCTTCTTTAAGGGTCCCAAATGATCGGCTTCTGCTGGATAGTTCACCCTCTTTAAATATGGTTCAAAATAAATTTAAAACATACACTAATAATAAATCTCCATTTGATCCTATGATATGAAAGAATTACTATTTATATTATAAGAGTGATGAAAATTATGAAAATTCTCCAAAATTATATGGATGAAGATTTGCACAAAATAAGCTAATTAGTAGGGATGGATTTGACAAGTTAAACATTGAAAATTAAATTGGCAGAGCATTAATAATTGCCAGAAAATTCTTCCACAATGAACAAGAGTGAAATGCCCAATAAGGAGAATAAAACAGTAGTATAACGCAGTTGGTTAAAACTCGCGGCAAACCCTGTGTGTGCACCATGGAGATGTTTGTGTCCTTGAATCTATAATACAGTACAGTACTAGTGTTAGCCATAAATATAGGCTGGCGGGCTAAAGCAATTTTGTTTAAAGATGAGGGTCGCACGCCAACCTATGACATTTTAAGGTGGAAATTTTTCTTTTCCATAGCGCTTGTAAAAACCTTTAAGTACTGCATTTTCCCAATTTATGTTACATTTTAACATTACCCTTTACAGATGGTCACTCAGTAGATGGTATGCCGTCCCCCATAGGGTTTTTAATATATTTTCGCCACAAAAAAATTGTTGGGCCAAACTTTGACTAATGTTGCAGAATGGGTGAACATAAAGCTACTAAACCTCGCGGACCACACCCATATTTAGTAAATTTACGTTGCAAGTTATCAGTTTTAACCTTTAACCTTCACAAGGATGAATACAGTACAACAAAAAACTCATATTTGCTAGCTTAAGGTACATGGAACAAAGCAGTGGGAAATGTAATGCCACAAAAGAGAATAAATACATTATATATTCTTATGGCGACAACAAACTTGACACTGTCAGATGTCTTAATTTCTTATCAAATAATGCTGTAATTTTTAGTTATTTATTAAAATAGAATTCTCTACACGCTTCTTAATATATTTAATTATATTATAATATTATTTAATATACTTTTTAATTAAAAATATGAGATACTATAAATATACAAATAGACACATGCTACTTATATGCTATAGATTAATTAAAACAGACTAGTTAATTATATTAGAGTATATAATTAAAAATGTTATTAAATTTAATTAGAAATTAATAAAATTCTCAGCCTAGTTATTTAATGTAGTTTTTAATATAAAAAAAATATACTATAGATATATAAATGGATATAATAGATAAATGAATACATGCTGACTTATTAATTAAAAATTTTTAATAAATTTGGTAAAATGAATTTTATATATATGCTGCTTTAATTGATGCAAATCATCTCAATAATAAAGGATTTCTTATTGCTCACACCTCTTAAATTGTTAACACTTTTTAAAATTAAAAAGCATAATGTAACCCACACCATTGCATTAGTTTTGTTAATATGCTATTTAAATTAGAATATTTGATGAATCCATAACCAAAATCATGAATTAATATTAATTATATTATGGATGAATGCTAATTATGATATTATTTCAAGCCAAGATATTGAATTTGTATGTGTATTAGTATAAAAATTATTAAGGAATAAGCATTTATTAAGTACAGTTAGTATAAATACATTAGTGCAGATATGTAAATTTTCTATTTATTAATTTCAGTACTATAGTTATTAAATAATTTAATATATTCTTTATGTTTTTGAAAATGTTCTCACAATATATTTCATAACTACTATTGTTCTAAGTATTATAT